GTACAGAGGTGAATTATACTGCCTAGCCCTAATCTGCTACGTCCCAGTTATTCCGATTCAAAATCTCTGTAGAGTATTGATGTGTGCTCGGTGTGATCCAAAATCTGGAGATATGATCTGTGCCTCAAGGAGCTTACAATCTAAATTAGGCCTCATTAGTGCAGCCCAGCACACGTGACAAGAATAAGTAGGCATAAGATGTACAATATAGATGGATCAAGTCTGCTTCATGCAGTCACAATTGTTTTTAAAAAATTACTTTTTTCCTTCTCTCCTTTTAATTACCTCTCCAGTGCCTGGGGGTTAGCATGAAAAAGTCTAAGGAAGAAGTTTGTTTTGTGGAAGTATCTGAATGTGGAAAGGGACAGCACCTGGCACAAAGGAACAGGGAGGGAATTCTAGGGTATAGTGGTTGGCACAGAAGAAATCACAAAGAGGTGAGTGGGAAAAGGGGACAAACAAGCATTCACAAGGCACACAGGTGGAGGAATAGAGACTTGAGTAGTGATCCAATTTTACTACTGTCTATGGGGAATTTATGTTGACTAGTGACTCGATAGTCTGAGACCACCAGACTCTTTCATTTATTACCTAATCAAGATCTGAATATCCCCATGACCTAGCCCACCATGCTGAAACTATTTACAGAAGTTATCAATCCTTTTCCTTCCATCAGTCCACACTCAGTCACACATGCATAGCTCTCCTCAAATGTGTCCCAGAATTCTTTGTGCTGATTCTTCTGGTGCTCCATAAGTGGCACTGCCAGGAATCAATACAGTGGTTTACAGGGTGCTTCTGGCACTTGAGAGATACCAGGTGAACCAATCCACTTACAGCAGGGCGCTGGAGACAGGAAATGGGAACAGGCCTGTGAATCTCCCATTCATTTTCCCAGAAGATTGGCGGGGAGAGGTGCGAGATTCAGTCTGAGAAATGCTGAATTATTAAATATTTTAGGCCACATTCAACCCCACTTCACTGACTTTAATGGAGCTGGGTAGCGCAGGAGTTGCAGAACAAGAGAAATCTTCCTACACAATAATCCCAATGTGCACAGAAACCACGATGATGAAAGCCTATTCCTTTCCCTCCCACTCCTCCTAAGACCCCTGCTTCGTGGACACGATCTGTTTGATGGACAAGATGTGGAAAGCTTCCTGATAGAGTCAGCTGAAAGAGTCCCAGGTGAAATACACAAAGGCTTTCTTCTATTCCCACGTACTGAGTGTCCAGTTTTTACTGCACTGCTGGTC